AACATACATGCTTTTCTGTGGATTACTTCATTAACAAACAAGATATATATATTTTATTCTGGTAAAACTTGTGAAGAGCAAGCCGTTAACCCATTTTCTATCAGTCGTGTAGAAAAAAATGCTTCTTAACAAACAGCTGTTCCACACTATAATGAACTCCAGACTTTCACGTCCTAAACACATACCATTTCAGTCCTGTATAGGAAAATCACTTTACCTCTTTGCTATGTTTTACATTAACACAGTTTAGACTATTTTCTTTTTGGAGCATGTGGCCATCTTGAAAAAATTTTGGAAGCTCGGCTTTCCATGATGTAAGGGGAAAACCAGCATTCCCCAGGTTACTGTTAAAAGAGGTGCAACAAGTAACATTTATTTCCAATATTTTTAACAGCTCTAATTCTAAAACCAATATAGTAATTTTAATAGGGCTCCAACTGTGACCAACAGGGACTTTAAACAATGCAATAAACAAGTTATGGCATAGGAAGCCTACGTACTAGCTGACAACATTTCTCTAGTAAAAGACGTCCCCGCTACAAAAGCACACACCCCTTCTCCAAAGCACAGATTACGATTTTGCACTGCTCTTTTCACCTTGCCGTAGCAGCTTTTTCTCACTGGTGCGTGCATGCACGTGATGTGAATGCTTCAGCTCGTTCAGTAATGTATGTGCCATGTATGTGTACTCATAGTCATATATGTATTAATTTTGTCCACAGGGTTGCTGCTTAAAAGATGCACGCTTCTATTGCCTACAAAAGATAGGCTAAAGTATATACACAAGATTCTCTCAGAAGTAAGTTCACGTTCGTTTCATTAGTATTTCAAATTGTCCCTTGCACTTCCACCGCCATTTCTATAGGGCACTTGCTAGTTGAATTATGCCTTTTACTGTCCCTTTGCTGGAATTTATTAGGACTGTGTAATGAATTTATTGATTTGAAATCAGTCCCTTTTTAATAACAATAGAAAAGCCTAAGCTAGCATATTGAACACAAGGCTGTTCTACTGAGATTTCATATTCCAAGATCAATGGTTTTTCCACTTTTCTTCAGTTTGTGGACTGCTAGAAATTTTGCAGTGGAAGAGCACAGCTCTTCACAGAAATTGTAGTCTCCTGAAAACAGGCTTGTTCTTCTTAGAGACCTTTTGCACACCCGTTTGACCACAGTTTTGAACTTAATGCTAAGCTGTAACATAGGTACTATAACTTGTCCCTTTATACAATAAGTGAAGAGAATCCTTCTGATTCTTTCAATCAGTATTGTGTACACAAGTAGTACAGAACACGTTCAATCATAGGAATCAGCTTATGGTCAGTTAAGATAAATTACTAGTGTTTTGCACTTGCAGGTTTCCTGTTTTAAACTTAATGGTTGTCCAAGTCCTTTGCATTGTTTAGGATTACAGTGCTATGGGGTATTTTTACAGGTATAGTATCTTTATGGAGAGAAGGCAAGTATCACAAATATAAAAGAAAATTAAGGTCGTTTTCGGAATTAATCTGTGTTTTTGCAAGATATTTAGAAGTATAAGATGGTTTTGAGCCTTGGGGTGTAGGGAGGAAGGTATTTATTCACACAGTTCTCTGCATTTCCTTTCTGGTTGTTCAAGTTGCTGATTTGACACTTGAGAATTCCTTGGTCTGGATTTCACTACCAACCAGTCTGGATTTTTGATTAGCGATTTATTATCTAAGAAGACATGGGAGAAGGGGAGCATTTTATTACACACCTTCAAATTCACAAATCAAGAGCAGAGGTGGTTTAGTTTAAAAGTAAATGGCTGTACACATCATACGCCAGAATATTTTTGTTAGCTTGTGGTAGCTGAAAATGAATTAAAAAAAAAAAAAAAAATCAGTGTCAAATGAATTAGTTCAGCAATCCACAGCTTATTTACTGTAATTACTACTGTGATTGCAAATATGCAGTAAAATGCTAAGGGTAGGATCTTTTTAACACTACTTGAGATCTTTGATTGTGAAGTGTTACGATTGCCTAAGGGAGGCTTTACTGGAGAGTAACTTTGTTTTAAAAAAATACAGAAACAAATTCTCTCTTAGAAGAACAAGCATTTGAGCACATTTTAAATGCATTTAAGTCTTAGAAACTTGTGTGTACAGGTGTTGTATATGTGTGCAGCATTAAAGTATTTGATAATACAAAAAATGTGATTATCTTTCTGTGGTTAAGAGTTACAGACAATTATTTGTGCTGGGACATTTGTCTTGTTAGCAAATACCTTTGTGTACTTTTCCATATAAAGTTCAAAAATAAGGTCTTGGCCCTGAATGTGGAACACCATTAGCAGCTTTTGCTTCTGGGCTGCATTAAGCTTAAGTACAACCTCTGCCATCATGTACAGCACCTCTGTAGCAGATAATGGTTTCCCTACACTCCTCAGGGAGATGCTGTGCAGGTACGGCACTCCAGGTACGACACCTTCCCTCTCTGTTCTGAGAAACTGCAGGACAGATTTCATTTATCTAATAGGAGGAATGGCATTGTGATCTAAATCTATGGCTCAGTCTATTCATTTTTACTTCCTTTCTTTTGTGATCTTCAGATCCTCACAGCAGGCTGGGATGAACTAGAGTGTCACCGGGTTTTTAACTTCCTCTGTGAGCTGAGCAATTTACCCCGTAAAGTACAGACAGTTGTCAGCAGCAAACCGGGTAATCATCAAAGCAGGAAAAAAGTCCTACGAAATCAAAATGTGCTATCATGGAGAAGCCAGAAAATGTATCTTGATTACTGCAAACAAAACGTCTCTAGAATTGAGAACGTTTTAGCTCAGCTAAGCCTTGTAGCACCAGTCCTTCCCTGACCCTCACGTACGTTCTGTTAGCTCCAATATTATGCAGAAAGTAGGCGTTCTAAAGTAAATACTTCATATAGATGAATACGGCTATTTTTTCTTCACCAAAAGCAAAGATAAGTGCCTTTGTCTTTGACATATATTCTGAAGAGAGTTGTTTTGAGAGGTGTTTAGGTTTTTTGGCATCATTCCATTATCAAACCAATGCATAAGTTATGTATATACGTTAACAGTAACATGGACTTGAATCTTTCTTAATGTACACCAATGCCAGTGAAATCAATGGGAAAGGAACCAACACAGAAATAAAATGACGCAGTAAAAAGTTAGGTTTAATATTTCTGAAACCCAACACTGACGTGGCACGTGCCTCTCAAGAAATTCTCATGTTACCCAGCACAGAACTGGGTATTTCTGTGGGACACTTTATACACAGCCATATACATACTTCCTCCTATTTCCACTTACTGATGCCAAAAACCAGAAACCAAAAACCATAGCTGAGAGCCCTTGCAGAGATGACTGAATGAGTTGCTGCAGAAAGGTACCAGAGGGTACGTCGATAGATCCTATGGCCTGAATTAGCGCAACGTAGCCAAAAGAGCCAGACTCGGGAAGTAGAGAATTTAATTAAATTCCCCTAGATGTTCTTGGCAGCTTTAAGAAAATCCTTCTTTCTCTTCCTATTAAAAAAAAAAAAAAAAAAAAAAAAAAGATGATCTGTGCTGCATGAGGCTTAATATCTACATTCTTTTACCCCAGGAAGCGCCCGAAAGCTAGAGCTGCGGATAAGGTTATACTGTCGTAGCGTCTTGTTGAACCACTGGATTCATCGAAGTGATTCTGCATTTTGGTTGACTCGTATTTTAAAGCCGTGGCCCATGGTTAATCAAGCTCGCCTGCTGTATATCATCTTTGGGCCAGTGTCCTCTCTTGATGGCGAGTAGTCTGGGGATTAATTTTCAAAGTTTGTTCCCTGAGAATGAGATTTCCTTGTAGGATGCAGCATTTCTGAAAACCAAGCTTTATGCAAATAAAATGTAATCGTATTGCCTAGAAAAAAATTGTTCTGCTTAACCAGATCTCACTAACGTACATAAAATACATAAATGATATATATGTGGGTGTATATATATATATACACACACACATATCCACGTATAGATAAAAAAAAAGTTGAAATTCAAGCAAAGAAATTGCACCTCTGTTCTTCTATTCTCCCCTGCTTAGGCTAGAGTTAGCTGGAACGCCCCTCAAAGAAGCATCCGTTTCCCTGAAGAAAAGCATGCTTTCTCACTTAATTATTAGACCTGGGTTTCTTTAAATCACCCTTTGATTCGTGCTGCAACTACCACTGTCCCTACTAAAGTGACAGATGGAAAAAAAATCTTCCTGTCACAAAGACTGAGTTGTGTTACCTGAATACCCCTCCTCTGACTCCGCTGTAAGGGCCAGTTTAGCACCTTCCTTGTTTAAAAAATAAGAAATTATTTTGTCACATTAAGTGTTTTGATTAATATATTACTATATTCAGGACATGTGGTTTGGCAGAAAATGATAGAAGGACCAACAGATGAGACCAGTCTGAAAGGTCTAGCAGATGCAATTAAACTGCTGTATGACACAGAAGCTAGAGAATGGACAGCAGATGATGTTATCAGTCTTGTGGACGAGCTGTCAGGTGTGTGTTTGCCTTTATCATTAATCCATAGGCTTATATGCTCATGTCCTCCAAATCTGGCAATAAGTGTGTTTCAGACACACAGGTGCCTTGGGAAACCGATTGCACCGTTCCTCACAGTAGCTGCGGCCTAACTGGAAAAGTCATTACACGTGGAAGCCAGGCAGTAGCTGGGGATGAGAGAAAACCAGCACTGCTTACAAATTCAGGCTCTCCTTCCCCATTGTGAAATATTTTAAGAATCCATGCAGACCTTTAAAATTCGAGTCTTGTCAAGCCATTATTAGGGAAATATTGTCCAAGCTATGTAAGCTGAAAACATAATGTTTTTTCAAGCCAAAAGTCTACTGAACAACGTTAACGGCTACACTGAGAGTTAGTTTTGGGTGAGATTGTATCACCGAAGCTATTGTAAAGAGCTCTAACTGTATCGCTGGTAGGAATTGCTGGTATGACTTCATTGCTGCAATTGTATTCCAGAGGGTGTCCCCTCACAAATTCTGGTTAGCTATCAAAGCCCACAATTCATAAATTCACATCTTCCAGAACAGTTATTGTGGCACTCCTTTCTTTTTGTTCAAATATCACTAAAATTCTCTCTATTTTATTACAAAGTTGTTCCCCGGGAGTGGCTCATGGAGAACAATGCTCGGCTTCTTATTCTGAGTGGAAACAACATTTGCTTCACTTTCATGGCCAGTAAAGCTGTGAATGGGAGAGCCGTCGAGTTAGCCAGACTCATGGTCTTCCTGGCTTTGGTGAGTACTGTTGAACGGAGCAGGCTTGGGCCTTTTGTCTCTTTACCCCCAGATTTGCTTTCCCAGACTCGAAAACTGTTTCCCCAGCTACTCATACAAACCAAGAGTAAGTCAAGCAAGAGACTTGGTACTCCTCCACCCTCTGGTCTCTGCCCAGCAGGTCTCCGCAGGGGAGCAAGCCTGTCCTTGAGGAGAAGTACCAATAGCAAAAGGTTGAGAAGTTCCGCCATTAGCGTGCCAACAACAAGGACAACCTCTAAGTCCTCATAAAAACCCCTAATTTTCCAGGCCATGGCTGCAACCGATCCAGCCATTCATTAGAATCAATAGTTAATTCTAAGATTTAATCTTGCCTTTTATAGCATCGTACTCATCATAAAAGGTGCCTTTGTAACATTTCCTGTGTACGTCAGGTCTGTGAGAAGGACCTGTACTGCATGGACTGGGCAGTAAAAATGATGCAGAAGGTCTGCAAAGTTTTCAGGACTCCAGGGGAGAGAAACAACTTCCTGCAGTGTGTGGAGAACGCCTTTGCGCACATGATCATGGACATGCTACAGGCAGTTCTGTCCGGTAAGCCTGCGGGCCTGCGAGCCAGGGTGAGCTCTGTAACCAGGAGCCAGCGCTGACCAAGGCATCAAGCAACACAGTTAGCATGGCACCGCAGCTTGTCCTTCTTCCCTCCCTCACCAGACAGAACAATACTGCAGTGCCTGAAGGCTTTTGATAACATAAAATAATCAATCAGGTGTCATAATTGGGAGAGACATTTATTTTAACCAGTTTCTCTTGTCTAAGAGATTCCTAGTGCTGTGGGTGGTGAAACCAACAGTCTTTTAAAACACATCCCACCAGAGCATCGGGCCTGAGGTCCTTTCGGGCTGTGTCTGAACACAGGCTCTGCGCCGCTGCCAGCCAGCCCCTTCAGCTCCACAGCCTGCAGTTGCTCCCTGTCCACAGCTTGTCAGCCTCTATAAAACCTCGAGGCTGATTACGATGCCAAGCTGTAAAGATGAACAGCCTGCTCAGTTAGGACAGATTTTTGTCTTAACGCACAATTGCTCTTGTCCATCTTTGGACAAGCTGGTGAAGGAATTTTGGAGAGAGTCTCCCGTGTTATTTTACAGCTGTCCTGCCATCAGGTGCAGTAGCTGACGTCTCATAAATCTAAGTGGAGGCTGCTGATTCAGCCTCTGCTGAAAACACTGAAGGAGTAAGGTTTATCTTCAAAGAAGTAATTTAGTTTCACTAATAATTTTTAAATGGTTTTCTTTGCCCTGGTAGGGGATCGTGATGAAGAGGACAACAGCTTTCTGAATTTGTTTCACCTTATAAATGCACAAGCGAACTTCCATAAAGAAATCCTGTACCTGACCATGAAAAGCAACACCATTTGATGCTCTGAATTTTACAGACTCTTGCTCTACTCCTGCTGGATTTTTCTGGTTTTTTTGGGTTTTTTTTGTTTTTTTTGTTTTTTTTTAAAAACATTTGCCCTTCACCGTCCAATTATTTCTTAAACTTCCTTCCAGTAAGAGCTGGGGTGGCAGCAGGAGAAGCGAGTGACGTACATGTCAGACCAGCTGAATGGGCTCATGGAGCTATTGGGGACCTCTCAGCATTTGCAGCAGAGTTCTGGGTGTTTTGCTCCTCTGAGACCGCGTTAAGACAGAATGAGGAAGCAGGCTGGGGGCCTCGCATTTGGGAACACAAACTGCATTCTTTTCCCACTGTGTGTGTTTGCATACACAATAAAAATGACATGGTTTTCATATTTGATGTGCATACACAAATTGAAGAATGTTATCTTAGTTCAGAACCAAAAACATTTTGATCTTTGAATTTTGTTTTCTCTTGGGAATTGGAGGCAAAAGAGACAGACATAATTAGAGAAGCACAGCTACATTTTTCCAGTTTACCAGGGTCTCTCTCACTAACTCTTAACGTTCTGTGACAGAAGCGCTCCATGGATTGGTCATTCAGTTTTACTAGAAAGAGGTGATTCCTGAAAGCAATTTAACTGCTTTGATCAAGCAAGACAATTTTTTTCCCCTCAGACTACAGGTGCCTTTTAACCACAAAGCAGAAGAAACTTCAAATCCCTCTCCCTGCCTAGTGTAATAACTGAACTGTTAAGAGTATATTTGCCTTTATAGGACTTAGCTAAGTTGAAGACACACGTTAAATGCATGTAGACTAAGATCACCGTTTCATTAAAGGAAGTAAATGTTTGCTACTTAAAAAGGTTTGGATTTTCTGCTATCTTGACTTCAAAACAAAAATACATAATGCATAATAAAAAGCACTTACTTTGTGTTGTTTATGACACGGCTGTTTTCTTCGTATGATTAAGTAGCCGCCTTCTCTACCTGAAACACTTTCCAAATGTTTTAGTGCTGCTTTCGGACCAGATTTTAGCTGCAGGGACCCACGTTTAGCTTCGAAAGCCAGGCTTCAGCTGCTGGAAGCAGCTAGGGTGGTACTGATTTATCTCAGCTGCCCCCACTTGGTTTCATCAGCAACGAGCTGACAACAGCTCTGTAATGATTTGCTTGGAAGTTTGCATGTTAAAATTTCTTGTGACATTTGTTGAATATACAATTACAGACAGGATTTGCCTACATTAAGGAGTGGATATGGGATATAAATTTGCCGAGGATCTTTGCAGCGTGCCGGTAGATGGCAGAGGTGAAGCCTTCCCTGAGAGGAGTGTCTGCTAGCAACTGCTTCCAAAAATCCCTTTTTTTCCTCACTGTTTGAAGGTTGTATTTCAGAGCACGCCCCAATACTACAATTGTGCTGCAACTACGTTGTTACTTCTGAAGTAGGCAAAATGCAAGACTCTTTGCCTGATATCTAGTCAGTGACCTGAGTGCCTCCAAACTGATCGCTAATGGACTCGGAATATGAGCAGGCAACAGACCTGCAGTGCGTACGGTGACAGGGAAACGCAGCCAAGAAGCCGCTGAGGTGGAATGCTACAGCCCAGATCATTAGCTGTCCCTCCCTTTGTACGCAGGAATCGCTACCAATAAGTCATCTGAATCGATGGAATCCAGAGTAATGAAGTCTTGAACGACCGCATCTTCTCGGCCCATTGTATTGCCGGTGCGTAACGCTGCGTCGCCGTGCTGCGACACAAAGCACCACAGGGCTGGTGTAGCTTCTCTGCCAGTGCCTGTCTCATCTCCCGGGACTGAGGACACAGCAGCAATAAATTAAAGCCCGTCACAAGGGATGCCATTATGCGAGCACAACGATAGAGGAAAAGTAAGTTCTTTGATTCACTGGCAGCAGCCAACAAAGATGAAATGTCAGCTCTGCCGGCACTAGCTCGCTCTCACAGCGGATCCTCCAGGAATGCAAGTTTTATGTGGCTGCCAAATGTGAATTATTGATGGCATTATTAATTATTATTAACTGCTCTTTTTCTTACATCAAAAATAGCTCAGCAAGCCTTTGGCGTTAGTTTTTGCAGCATTCATACGTACGCCAGCATTTGCACCAGACAAGGACTTGCCTCCCCAAAGGGTCAAAGCTCAAACCCACCGAAGCGGTACTTCCCAAACCAGTTTTGTTTGAACTGGAAAATGCCACCAGCCTTGCAGCCTCCTTTGCCAATATCGCCCTCTGATCGGGCCAGCCCTCGCAATTAAACACCTCTGGGCTAATGGCATCCAGGTGGGGAGCCCCCGGGCCGCACCATGCGCCAGAGGAGCTTGAGATACTTGAGAAAATGGTGCTTTTGCCTTTGCTGACAAATTTTAACTGCTGCTGGGGTGATAAAACCCTCCCAAGATGAGAAGCAAAATTCCCCCTGTGCCAGCGTAGCTCTTTTCAGAGCAGGGCTGCAGCCTGACTGCAATCTGAGCTGTGGAGCACCGTATCCCATCTGCTAAAGAGCTGTCCCTGTCCGCTGCGGCCGTCCCTCTGTCTGCAAGCACCTCTCCTGCCTGGTGGTGTCCAACCCTTTGCAGTCCTCAGCTGCTGGGCTGGGTCACTTCACCTTCCAGCACGGAGCTGGCCGGTTTTGGGCATGGAGGAAGGGATTGTTATGCATAGCTTGGTGGGTTTGTAAGGCCCTCTGAGGGGAGAGGGGCGTTCAGAGTAAGAGAAAATTATTGTTCCTGGTTTCACACTCAGCTGAGTTTCCATTCCATGCATTCCTTGTTACTCACTCTCTCTTAATCACTGCAGATGTTGACATCAGATACGGGCTCACGAAGCGGAGGTTATTGAGAACATGACTTATGCTTGAAGAAATTCCTCCCAGAATACTTCAAGCTTCTGATTTTCGACTATATTTGGTGGTGGAGTGAGGAGAAGCTTTTCTGCATCTCCAGGGCTCAGCGGTGAGGGACCGTCCTGGGTAGCTGGGGCTGAGGCTGGTGCACTGAGAACACGCTCGGGAGCAAAGTCGCCAACTTTGTGTTTCTCTCAGGAGTTTTACTAACAGGAAATTGCAGTGTCAAGTATTCAGCTGGCAACGCTAACCGCATCCAGCATTCCCAGACTCTGAAATCCCTCTTCTTTCTGTAAACACCGTCTTCTGAAAGTCTTATCATCCAATTCCAGTGTACCCCGGCAGTGCCGGCACAGCCCCTACTCTCCCTGGGTCCTGTTCTCTTGCACCCACTTGTGCCATGGTGCACTAATGGGGCATGAGCAGTTTTTCCCATTGCAGATATTTCAAGTGTTTATTGCCTAAAAAAAATTAAAAATAAATCCTGGGAGAGACCAGGCATATGAAAATTTTGTCTGGTAGGAGGGTGAAACTTTCAGTGTGAAAACAGCGTTGCATGTGACTGACAGTCTAAGGGCAGGGATCGATGCAGGACTTCATAAAAGGACAGGAAAAATCCTCCTGATGCCCCAAATACCTTCCCAGGCCTCTCCAAGCTGGGGGAAATTAAGCTCTGAAGTGTTCTTTCCGTCCCACAGAAATTTCCATCATATTAAAAATGTTTCTTTTTCTATGCTGAGATTAACTGAGACCTCCCAGAGCTTCTCTGAACATCAGCGAGGGGACCTGAGTGAGGGTGAGCCACGGCTCAGATGCTGGGGCACCCTCCAAGTCGGGGAGAGCCTGGTTTGGACCCCACGGTGCCTGGATCCGGGACCCCTCCACAGCAGCTGCTGCTCACACTGGGGGACACCGAGGTGGCTCGGCCTGGTTTCCCAATATCTCATCGTTCTCAGGGCTCGCAGGCTGCCCTGCACCTCTCCGCAGCAGCGGGGTTTACTCCCGGAGCCGTGCGTGCCCCAGCCCTGCCATCGATGCACGGCGATGCGTTTTGGCAGAGTCAATGCCAGCAGATGTGCTCACTCTCCTGTGTTTATTCCTCTTTATTTCATTTCCTTGAACATTTTTCATTAAAAATATAAGTGTTTTTCTAAAATTAAACCCAAATGACGGACCTCGGAAGCACTCATCCCAAAGGGCTAAGCCACACGGGGAGGGCAGGACCCTTCGCATCGCCCCCGGGACACTGCGTGCGTCACCAGGAACAACCCACGTTTCGGCAGCAGGACGACACCTCGCAGCCCTCTCCCCTGCCACCCCATTTCCCTCCTTCGCCCCGCTCGGCCGTGCCTGCTCAGCCCCCTCCGCAACGCTTTCCCCGCGTTGGATGGCCGGTTGCTCGCAGAGGGTTAACGCTTTTTCCAGAAGGCTCCGAGGGAGACGGGACCAGGCTGCGGCTGTGGAAGAGAAAGGAGAGGCTTGTCTGAGCTGGGCCCCGGAGCTGCGGGAGACCCGGAGATGGCGAAGGGTGGGAATGGCAGCGCGTGCGAGCAAAGGCAGCGGTGGCAGCCGCCCTTCACCCGGCATAGGTGGGGGCAGAGACACCAAGCCCCCCCCCCGCCTCCCCTTTGCTTCCTTTAAGATGATGCAACCAGGATCCCTTCTTGCTTCTTCCCTAAGCTGTTTTATTTCTCTCCCTCTTGGGAACAACAGCCACAAGTTCGTGCTGCAGCACTCTAAAAGGCACAGAGCAGCTTTTCCACATGGGAAGGGGCTGATAAACCCAGCAGGGAGAAACCAGCGGCCGCACAATAGCCGGGGCATGTTTCAGCGGGCAAGGTGGCCTGATTTATAAAATAAACCCTGGTGCCCTCCTTCCAGCCCGGAGCATGAAACAGCTCGGCTGCCTCAGCCGGGCAGAGGGAGCAGCAGCCAAAGACAACAGCATTAAAACCAAAACCATCCCCTCTCGCCCCCCTCCCTGGACACGTTTCTTCCCAGAAATTAAAGCCTGGTGGGACGAGGAGTGGCCGGCTCACCTGGACGATGCTTCGATTGCAAGGCTGATGCTGAGCCGCATCTTCCCCAGCATCACTCTAGAGCATGTAAATGATGTAGGAGAGGATCACCAGGCCGATGATGGCAAAAAACATC